AAACATTGCAGGGAAAATGTTTTTATTTTTGTTAGGTGTGTGAAAAAAAGGAGGAAACCGCGTTGACAGTCATCGTGTAGAAGTATTTTATATCCTTCATTTGCTATATTTAGAGGATCAAAACATAGTGGATGTTGATACACGCAATCATCCAAATTAACATGAAATTATCAAGGTATCGTGGGCATACGACAGGGACTCAGAGAAGAAGTCACCACTGTTTCAGCCTTATTCTTCTCAGAGGTGACAGGAGCACCTTCAAGGTTACAGTCCCTGAGATGCAGTTTTAAATAATCTTGTGTTCTTTGTTTTGTAAGCACAAATCCGCTTTTCAGTGTCTGTATGAGCTATGAAAGAACTAAGCATAAAACATGAATTTCTAGCCATATAACTGATATAAACTGATGTAGTCCTAGGTAAAACAAAACAAAGTCTGTTATTTTCTGCACCGGAGATTATACTAACTTTGTGTTTAAAATCAATAAGAACCAAACATTTCATATGATGTGTAATCCTGTGTGATCTTGAACTAACATGTAATGGATTGCTTGGCTGCTGAAGAGAATCCTGGCTCTTGTGGCTGAGACTGAATTTTTTGTGAGATTCTAAGAGACACAGAATCACATCCAATACGCGGAAAAACACAGTAGAATGTAGCTCTAAAACAATATATTACACGTGTCCAAATAATTCTAATCACGCAGGTAGAAAAAACCAATCAATAACTGCTCTGATGAGCTCTACTTAGAATTTGTTTTTTAAAAAAGTGAGACCTTGCAGATAAAGCCTCAAGCATGAATTGGAACGGTTTGTCCTAGACCAAAGATAAACACGGAAAAGAGGCAGAGCCCCAACTAAATCAATCAGAAGAGGAAACAGGTCTGCACTCAGAGCGATATTCACTCGGGAGCTATTTGTTTTTTTCCCTAAACAAATATACTGTTGTGTTTTTTGGTTGCTGATATTTCCTTTTGGAGAAAGAATTCGCCAGCTCTTCTGCTACCTGCGCAAACTTCAGTGGGTGCTCGCTCGACTTCGCTTCTAATGCTTTCCGTGGAAATTCTCGGTGTTTGTGGTGTGACGAAAGCCAGTCCGAGCATGCTCATTGCGGACAGCTACTGCTCTTGCATCACAGCCTTCAGGTCAGGTCAGGTCAGATCGGGTCGCTGACCTTGTACCTCTTTCACAAATCTGCCGATGACTCAGCTGTGTGCCAGCTACACTACACAAGATGCACAGGGATGTTCCCTCGAGCTTGGGCAAGAATATTTCAGGTCAATAGTCTGCAGAAGATCCCCTTTGAGTTGTGGTGGGGAAAGGACAAAGGAAACGGGCAACTCTGGCCTGTTACAGAACTGCACACAGGCTGCAAACAACTGTTGCCTTCACTGTAAAGTCCAAAAACGCTCAGAGGTAACGTCTCGTTATTTTCTATCAAACAGCTAACAGCCGTAATGAATAAAAAACACAACAACAACTCTTTTAACTAGAGTTGTCAAAAACCAGGAGAGCAAAGCTATTACTTAAAAAATAGCTGACAGTGAACCCAGTGTAAACAGTAGTTCCTACCTATAATATCTAATACGAACTGTTGCATCATACTGCTCCCTTTGTTAAAATTAATTTTGAGTATGTGCTATGCAATTCCTCCTTTGTGATTGGATAGCAAGCACTTTGTCAGCCATTTCTCAATTTGTGTATGTGAAATAATTTAACATGCTTCAGAATTCTACAGCATTCTTCATCAATTTGTGTACTCTAACTCGGCAAAGCTACAACGAGATGTCCACAGCCGAAATTCGGCTTTCCTGGGACAGACAGGCCAACCCAGGGGCCTTCTGTGAAGACTCAAGCATTATGAAGGAAAAACATGTTCATCAACAACTGCCGATTACAAGCTGGTGGAGAGAATAAACAAAAAATATCCTTGGTAACGTTAGCACTTCTGAACCAGGAAGTCCCTGACTGTAAAAAATGGGTTTTGATTTTGTGCACATGCATACAGAGATGTGTTTTAATGCATTGCACACAAATACAAAGATACCCATATAGAAAGAGAGGTATGAGCACACTGTGTAGCTCCAAGAAACTTTATGGGGTCATGCAAAAACCTTCAGAAAAACCCTGAGGCCCACATGTCGCATTATGTTTCTTTGCTTGTGTACATATGGGTCACCAAGACCATCAGCATCTCTTTTGCCAAGAACGTTACCCCCTGATTTTCAGCCAGCCTGTGTGTCTTCAGCTCCGGTCTGATTGCAGCCCACAGCAGATGAAGAGATAATTATTATCTGGCCTGAACCTGCAAAACTATCACACAGCTTTGATTCTGTGCAAGATACACCTCATTCTGTTAGAGAATGAACGCTCTGTTTTCAGACCACAGATACAGTACTGCACTCAGCTAGTGTTTAGTGTGTGACCAGGTCTTTTCACACTCTTTCTGAACATATTTTAAAAAGAGCTTGTCACTGTTTCATTTTAACATGAAGACTATCAGAAGAGTTGCGAAGGAACAGGTAAAGTTTTATTCCATGCTGGAAAAAGAAGAAAACAAACAGCGTTTCGGCTGTGGAGTCAAAGAAGACTCTTCTAGAAGGGTAGAACAAACGGAACACAATGAAGAAGGCTCCACTGCCGAAACGTTGTGTTTCTTTTCTTCTCTTTTCAGCAGGGAATAAACCTTGACTTGTTCCTTTGCAACCCATGCATGCTGATACAGCCACCTACTTGAACTACTATCAGAAGAGTTGCCAATGAAAGGAGATCATTCAGTGTCCAGTTTGGTAAAAAGTGGCGACCAAGATAGTACAAAATATTTTAAATGAGGCCTTACTAGAGCGTTTTTCAATTTGAACAATAATTTCCCTTCTGCACTTTTAACCGTATATCCTAGTCTCTGTTTTTGCCTTTTTATTTGCTTGAACAAATTTCCTTAAACATGCAAGTGTTTTAAAACATTAATTGTCTATTAACCCCAGCTGCTCCAGGGGCGCTGTATAAATGGCTGACCCTGCGCTCTGAGCCCCAGCTTCTCTCCCTGTCTGAGTGTCTCATGGAGAGCAAGCTGGGGTATGTGAAAAGACAAATTCCTAATGCAAGAAATTGTATATGGCCAATAAGTGATCTCTTATCTTAAGAAGAGCAGTGGTCCTAGTACAGATGATTATGGTACCCCACTAATTAAATCACACCAGTTTGAGTATTCATGCCTTATTTTTATCTGTTTGCATTTGTATCTGTTTTCTATTTTACAACCAATTCAAACACTCACATTTCCCGGAATGCCTACTTTCTGCAATTTAAGAATTAATGATTTAGGATTAACTTTATCATAATCCTTCATAAAATCTAAATACATCATATCCTAGTTTTTAGAATTGTTTCCATTACTTTTATGTAGCAAAAGTCAAACTTTTTCTCAGCATTTTGTTTTTACTTGGGTTCTAGATTTGAAATTCTCCTACCCCTGTCTTTGTAGGAAACTATTTTACGTGGTTAATTTTACCAGAGCTAATCATAGAAATAATAATAAATCATTCAAAAACACAATGCAATCTAAAAATAGTTCTAGACACGAATGTAATTACTACATCTTGTTATCTGTATTTTCTGCAAAGGAAGGAAAAACATTATTTGTATATGAAGAACTTAAATATACACAATACGTGCCAAAATATGGTTAAAAAAGAAACGTCCTCTTGTGGGTGTGTTTGTTTCCAGTAATACTATTAGTAGATGATATAAAAAGCTATGAATGGATGAAGCAATAACTCAGTAATTACTGTAGGAACTTGATGTACCATGACTGAAACAAATGCAGAACAACTCAATACCAGTGTGAATCCTTTCACTATTAGCTTTGTAACAGCTCAATGCATTTCACAGTGGCAATACATTGGTTTGGGTGCGTTTGCACAGTTATATTCATAAGCACCATTTCTTACTTTTGCTGAAGAAGAGGTTCAATAACAGACAGGACACAATATTTTAGCAACACTTATTGACTTGACATTACAGTGCTGCAATAGTATTGACACCACTAGCCACAGCTTTGTGCTACTGTATATACACTGAAACCCAGTGATAACAGCAAAATGTAGCTTTTAGCAAAGTCATAAATTAACTATGAAAAAGCTCCGGCATTTGAAATGAATTACGTATCATACTGTGATGCTTTTTTATGGACTTTTTTGCAGAAGTTGCTCATAAAAAACCCTGATAAGACTGCGAAGACACAGCGGATTCACTCTGCAGAGCTGTTCCTCCTGTGCTACAGGGAGCCCACAAGGGGCATCAAAAAATTGCTTCCATCTGAGGTGAGCTCAGACGTGAGGTCCTTCAATTTCGTCCTGTCATCTTGACGCGAAACGTTGTGCACCTTATAGAGTCAGCCCAACAGCGTTTTTCCTTTGTCATTGTCTCCTTTGTTCAGACAAATAAACATGTGACACGAAAAAAGAACCGTCCTGCTCATGCCCGTTCCCCGATGGGCATCACACTTGACCCCCCCATGTTTCGCCCTGCAGGTGCTAAGCCCACACAATGGCTCCATGTCACAATCTGGGGCTGAGCTTGTCCTCCAGGCTTTCGCTGGCAAACACAGCCCCCAGGCCCAGCTCCAGGGATGGTTGCGGTGTCTCTGATCTGGGCAGGGTTCTCTCACACCTTAGTGGAAACTTCAGGGGAGTGAAGTTTGGATTATTCTTTATCTGACCCCTCTCCTTAGACCAATTTGAAGTGTCCCTACCAGGAGTGCAAAACGCCTGACAATACAGCTCCAAGGCTCCCTTGGGCTCTCAACCCCTGCACCATGACAAGGTGGATGTGAGACATCTTTATTCCTCGTTGCAGGCCAGCCACTGACCACTGGTTAGTTATTAAAGACTTTTCTCTTTTATGAATCTTGTCCAAGAGCTTCCAACAGGGCGGCTACATGGCAATATTCAGACACATGCACGTGTGTAGTAATAGCTGATAAGGTGGGGATACAGGCAGTTTAAATGGGATTCAGAATATTGGTTGGCATTGGTTTAATGCTGTCAGGAATAATTTAAAACTGTTTCCTACTATTTAAAACTTCCTGATACAATCTGATGTCCCTTCCGTCATGTTCATTATACTCTCTGTTCAGGCCTTGCAATTGACATCAGGACAGATGCTTTCTGATGATTCAAAATGAAAATGTCTCAGCGCACCTGTGCATTGTAACAAGAAAATATCTTCTCCTCACTCACTCTCACTGTCTGGTCTACTGGATATAGTGTGCTGATCACTCACCTGAGCAGCCATGTCTATGAGCGTGTTGATTGGTAAGCTGGATCCCTGCGGTGTCTTCAAAAAGTCGACAAGGCTCCCTAGAAGCAAGAACAACACAGTCCGTCAGCATTTAATGGGTCATTTCGGCTTGAGAATGTCCCACAGAGCGACACGAACAGAAGCACTAGTGCCACAAAAAGATCAGGATCTTCTCGGAGTTGCCATCTTCTGCATGGGGACAGTGTGTGTAGGGTGGGGGGAAGCTGGTGACCCCAGACATGCAGTACAAGAACGTATGTTTAGTTTTGGGTTTTTGTAATTTTATTCCAGGTAAACAGCATGCAAGAACATAAGGAAATCAAACAGTTTATAATCAAGAGGAGGCCTTTTGGCCCTACTAGAACATTTGGTAGTTGGTATGTAACCGATCCATGGATCTCCACCAGTTGTTTCTTGACAGAAGCCAGGGTACGGGCATCAGCAACATGGCTGGGTACCTTGCTCCACACTCCCACAAGCCTTTGTGTAAAAGGTGCCTGCTGCTCTTGATTTTAAATGCCCTTACACAATAGTAATTCCACAACTGCTTCCACAAAAAGATTAATGTATTTCATTAATCGAGTACATAAACACTGATTTTGTTAAGAGAGAATTTACAGTTTCGCTATCCTTCAGTGGATCTGATTCCTAGCCGTGAAAAGTAAGCAAAGCCTCATTCGCGGGCCTCGGAACCAGCAGCCTGCTGTTCAAGTAGTGTCTATAATTACTTCTAAGGATCGTCCTCACTCATACCACACCTCAATCTATCATACTGGTATCAAACATTCTCAGAGGAAATGCCTCCAGAACAATACAGCTGTTCCAGGAAAGGGCAGGAGACACAACCACACAAGTTCAGATTGGAGAACCTCTTCAAAACAGGCAGACCAGATGCCAAATTCTTTGGCTCTATTGCTCTTTCCAATCACATTATCTCAACACGTCTGTGAGCCACATAGCACTGGGGGACTTGAAGCACTCTTTCCCTTAATGACAAGTTCCATAATTCTGCCCACAGACATCATCTCCCTGGTGAAATGGGAGGGCAGAACTCCCTGTGTTTTCAGAAACTTGCACGTTCACAGCACACATCACTAAGCGCTGTGATTGCAGCTTTTAACCTGGTCCAAAAAGGTTTCGTGTTAATGAAACGTCTTAAAAAAAAACATAAAAAGTTATTTGATGTAATCGCTGCTTTGAGTGTGTTTTTTTTTTCTGCTGATCAGCGTTTGCAGGAGTTGTGTGAAGTGGTTTAATCACAGAGACCTCGGAGTTTATTATTTTTAGAGATTATTTCAGGTCCAGTACAGCTGTGAGAGGCCTGCTGTTCCGAACCCCTCCCCCTATCGGGCCTGTCCTGCTCCTGGAACTCGGCCCTGCTTCCATTCTGACTGCCTGAGGGGTCAGCGAGGTCAGGAGGCAAACAATGAGACAGGGAACAACAAGAAGTTCATATTTCACCCCCAGGGCAGGGTGGATCTTTCCTTTGCTGTAGTCCTTGGAGCCTAGGAGGGGAAATATGAGCCAGAGGTGGCAGGATACTCAAACATTACTGTGCAGACTCATCTTCCTTGCTTTACACCATTGCAAGATGAAATTACATTTACGGAGCAAAGGCATATGTGTACATATAATATATATGCGTAGCAATCTTCAAAAAGCCTGTAATTCCTTTATTGAAAAACAAATTGGAACACAAAATATTTTTATCTTAACCGAATTATAATTTAGCTTAGTTTGCCTAACTAAGGCATCAAAATGAATAAGATCTATTCCAGTAAGTTACCATCTGTGGAACTATGTCTGAATGGTTGTGGTTGAGACACATTACTCTTTACCTTATATTAAATGTAAACAGGTAACAAGTTAGCTGGAGACTAATTCCGCACTGAATAGTTGAAAGAAAAGAATGTTCCATTCTTTTCTTCTTTGCTTTCTACTTTTGCAGCCAATGAGCCCTGAAGCACCTGACCTAAATGTTTGAAAAGGACTACAGTTAGTTCTCTCGACTAACTAGAAAGAATGACACAACTGTAAAGACTGAGGCAAAGGAAACGTGCACCTTGTACTACGTTTCTCTGTTAAGTCCTTTTCTAAAACAAGAAATACAGCTTTCTACCAAACGTGGTAGCTTGAGACAAAAACAACATAGCCCTGATCTTTGAGATAAACTTCACTAAAGGGTGCAGAATGGGAAATGGTTGTGGGCCTTGTTTCAAACAGGGGGCCCTCTTTTTTTGGCAGGCCCGGCACTGACCGTTTTCCATGAACTCGGTGACGATGTAGATGGGCTCCTGCGTGACGACGGCGTACAGGCGGACCAGTCTGGGGTGCTGCAGGTTCTTCATGAGGTTGGCTTCAGCCAGGAAGGCGCTGGTGGACATGGTGCCAGCCTTCAAGTTCTTGATGGCCACTTTCCGGTTGTTATTGTACAGACCTAACAGGGGGAGACTGCCGGTTAACAGCATCTTCTCAAACAATATTTAGATGCTGAGAGAATATCAAGAACTGCTCACCCTGCAGTACCGGACTTTGAGCTACCCTTTTATAACGGGGTTTGTTTTGCAGGGTAGGCATGAGAAGCTGATTCTGGATGATATCTTTTGCATATTTTTTCAAAGACGTCCTGTGCTGACATTGAAGGGGAACACTGTTGCCATTGTTGGGGCTGGGGTATTTCTGGGGTATTTCCACCTCCCATCTGGGACAACGATGCCTCAAAGGAGGACTTCACAGGAGACCTCACTCCCACCCTGGTCATTGCTGCATGTCTGCATGGGCTCAGCTTCTCCCTGAGGTATCATTCTGTACTGCTCCTTCCTGACTTCACACAGATGAGCTACAGTGTAATTCATACAGTATATAGCTTGCCGTGTTATACCACAGTAAGCCTTTCTTGGGGCAAACAACAAAAGGTCATTGTTGGTCAACCTCCCAGAAACGAAGGACCAGCAGTCATGGTAAGAACGGAGACACCACACTCCCACCCCCATGCTAGACTGTACACAGCGTCCATCTCGAGATTCTGACCAGGAGGTGCTGCAGTGTGAAACCACCACACCCACCCACAGCCCCCTGCTCTTTGGAGGTGACTGCATGAGTCTTTCTCTTACGAGTGCGGTATCTTCCAGCACTTCCAGCCCAGACATGCACACCCAAATCTATGAATCCTCTCATGTTTCCAGGAGCCGGATGTGTGAGGAGACAAGACCATACACAGGGGCTGAGAGCAGTGCTGGGAGATCACAGGCAACAGAAACGTGCTCAGCTGGAGAGGAAAAAGGTCACTATTGAAGCGGTTGGAAGGTAGAGAGTGCTGATGTTTTAACAGTTGCCGGTCATCACAGGTCCCGCATAACTAAAGGAGCAAAATCAAGATGTGAAAGAGCACAAGGTGGAAAAACTGGAATGTAGCAACGCACAGAATTCAACGCGACACGAGACCTTGTTTTCTTTCAGAAACAAATAAAGGGAGGGAGCCACACCCACAGGCAAACAGGAAGCAGAGAAACAAAGCATGAAGCGTCTGAGGTCTCTCTATTCTCTGGTACTCTTGGTTTTGTTTGCCGAACTGAGCTAAATCTCGAGGGGAGGAAACTCCTGTCGGCTGAGACACGTACTGTACAATTTCAAGATCCGCCATTCACACGGTTACTGTTCTAGGACACAGGGTTAGGAGTAATAATACGAATGTATGCAAAGCATCTTAAAAGCCTTATAAGAAATGCAATTATTTAAAAGTACTAGAAGTTTCACAAAAGGATTTGTTCATCAGAAAGTCTTATGCCAGCCTGTGGAAACATTTGCATCTGAACACCTGGAGTGAGATCATATTGTTTTTTAAATGATTGAATGCACCTTTAGAATCACTTTCTTCCAAAAACACCCTCTGAGCTGAGACCTAGAGAGACACTTGAACTACACCATGGTGCTGTGCAGTTGGGTGGAAACGCAAAGCAATAAGGATGCTGTCAGAAGAGAGACGTCAAGCAGGCAGACTCAGATGCAAATTGACTTGTTCGTAAAGTCTTCTCTTTTGATGTACAGTAGCCGTGTCTCTGTAAATGTCAGTCGCGCGTCGGCGTGACCACAGGAACAGACCTTCATGGGCTGCTGGGTCGCATTTTTGCCGGCATCCGATCTGGTTTCTGCATCGCGCTGCTCGGCTGTTGAGCGATACGACCCCACAGCACGCTGGCCCCCGTGGGGCTGGGCCTCTCCTTCCTGAGGAGCCCCCCACCTCCACGATAAAAACTAAAAATCAGTCAAGTCAGAGCAAACGCCCCTCCTCTAGGGTTGAAGACCCTGCGTCAAGCTCTGCTCCACTGCTTTCACGCCGTTACGAAACGAGTGGACGCAGCTCGGCTGATTTCTGACCACATCAATAACTGAGGCGGAAAGAGAGAAGCGGCACGAGTTCATGTTTTGTCCGACCAGTCAAATCACCAAGTCAAGAGAATTGTCGCCACAGTGTGTCGTTCTGCCTTAATGTCCTTATCGGAAATGATCAGGCACTTGTTTGATTACTCTGGATTTACTAGAACGTGTGAATTTGAGGCCCACCGCATCAGCCAGTGTTAGGCCAGTAGTGGCAATAAGGCAGTTTGGTTGTTGGTTGGTGACAGCTTGTTGGTTCATCATTATCCAACCTCATTCGGTATTTGAACCTCGTGAATGAAAAGAATTCAATTAGGATGGTCATTTTTTAAAATTTGAGATTTCTCATTACAGCGCAAGTAGGTTATTTAAGAGCAAAGAATGTTACGGGGTGGTTTTAAAGAGAAAGAAGTGAATTTACAGTAGGTTTTCTCCGGCAACATGATGACCTACTGGAACAGATGAAGCTGGACAAATCTTGGTCATCTGGGGATGGAAGTAAGCAATGACTTTTCTGTCTGTTTCCTATTAGGCCACATAAATCACACAATCCAATGAAAAGGATGATTTTAATTTGAAAAACAATATTCCATAATGAATGTAGACTAAAGTGCACTGACTAAAGACTGACTAAAGCAATAGCCCAACAGGACCATGCATCCTCGCCTCAAGACCCTAATCAGGAAATAAACCGTGAAAAGAGGGAAAATGCTAACGTGGCCGGTTGCCTGCGTTCCCAAGGGACGGACACGAGCCTGCTCCAATCGGAGCCGGTGTCGGAGCTGCGGGGGGATTCGGACTCACCCATCCAGACCTCCCCAAACTGCCCCGCGCCCAGCCGGCGCTCCAGCTTCAGCGTCTCCCGGGGAATCTCCCACTCGTCCTGCCACCAGGGCTTCTGCGGGACCCGGGTCTGGCAGGGCTTGGTCAGGCGCGTGCAGAGACCGTCCGCGTCTCCTGCGGGACGACAGACGTTGTGGAGGGGGGTTAGATCCTTCACCTGGAGCGCTTCCCACAGCCTATGTATATAAGCCTCGCACCCCGGACTTTCCTTCGTGTCTCTGTCTTGCATCCGTTCTGCCACCTCATCTACACCCTTGCAGCGGCTCCCCAGCTCATTCCTCGCAGGAGTGGGGGGGGGGGGACTTGCCCAGCTAGTCTGTCATTACCTCAGCTGGGCAAGTCACATCAAATACTCTCTACATATTCCATCCCTCTGTCACATGCATTAGGATTTAAACAAAGTACTGAAAATATGGTATGCACAACTGTGACTTTCGCCCTACATCCTCTATCTTCCGGCCCCAGCATTTTCCATTGCAATCCTGTAGCCCTTTTTTAATTGTCTTGAAGTTAGTGTATCCTGTAAACAACACTGTTCCCTGCATTGCAGTTAAGAGAAAACCTTGTTGGGCCCAGTTTTGTTTGAGGGTCTCAATTCCACATGTGGTTTGTCGTGTTTCGGTATGCAGCACACGCATGTGGTGAACATGGCACCCAAGGGTGCACAGCAAAAGGATGTGAAAGATGGTGAAAAAAACAGAAATGAACAGTTTCAGTGAAACGCTGCATGAGCTGTGATACTTTACATACTACTATTCATACTCCAGATTCTATATTTGCCTCACTGGAAACCATCGTGTTTGCTGCTCTAAACTTTGTGTTCACTTTTCTTTGGCTTCAGCCATTTGCATTTTACATTTCTCGCGTAAATACTAAAGCCTCTGTTCAAAAAGAAAACACAGGAGGCCACTGTATGGAAAATAATTGATTTATCATGCACTTCGATAAACAGCTACAAGAGGGTCCATGGGTCCCTCCTGGGACAGGAAAGGGGGGAAGATGACCTCCAGAAACTGTTACTTCTCATGACTATTTTTTAATTCCAATGAGAAGGTCATTAGGTTTTGGTTGAGGAACATCTGGGTAACCGGACTGGGCAGCAGAACACTGAGTTATGTTTCAAGTCTTTGTGAAACCCACATCACACCCTTGCAGTTAAGATCCATTCTGTGCAGAATGGCACCCACTCAAGGTAAAAATGTTTTGTACCTCTAAAATGGTACAATTCCCAGGGATGCCGGTGATCGATGCCTTTAATAACATAACTGTTCGGGACGTGCTCTCTGCTGCTTGTAATCAGAAGTAAGAACTTTTAGGGGTTATGTGTCATCCAGCTCTGATGGTATTTCCGCATTCCATTTGCCAACCTCTATACCAGGATCCATGGATCATTCGACAGCAAAGGAGACTTACTAGAGTAATGCTGAACAAGCTCCGACAGGGTGTTGAACGATATCCTGGGTGTGATATAAAAGCCGCCATTATCCAGGTTGCGGATCTTGTAGTGCTTGACAGTGTCGCCGGTGTTCGGATCAAAGTCCCTCACAGACAAGGAGAAAGACCCTGGAGAGACAAAACAGACCAGCCCGTGTGGAAAAAAACCCAACACACTCCCAAAGGATGGTGAGAGCTGCCAGAGCAGAGCAGTAAATCTCTGGCGGATTTACTCCGTTTCAAGATAAAACCTTCGTCGTTCATTGTCCTTTCCAATTCGAACTGGAAGGACTTTGGCCTTTTCCATGTCAGTCAAAGGACATGATGACTGAAACCACTAAGTCACTGCTAGCGCAGAGCCCAGGACTGTTCACATGGGATGGGGCTGGTGGTTGCAGTGGGAGTCACTGGAATGACGTCTCCATACTACGAGCAGAGTATGCAAAATCAGTGCCACACAGGAGTACTAAGTCAACAGTGAAAGGAGAGGAAAGAGTCGCTGTGAAACGCGATACCTTTGGTAGTTTCGCTTTCTCTGATGAGGAACGAGCCCAGGGTGTTTCCTGGGGCCAGGAGCTGTCTCATGGCATCATTGCGAGAGATGTCTTTGAAGAACCACCTGCAGCGTGTACACAAATAATGCTGAAGATGTAAAACACGCAGAAAATTGTCATGTTTCCATCGGTTTATGCGTTTTAATAGCAGGCTTAATTAGCATGGGCACATAGGTAATGGGCAGAACTGATGTATGGATGGAAACGTCACAGTGAAAGAGACGGGTGTCAAAAAATGGATGACTACAGAAGGAAACATCCATCTTTGACAGCTCTCCCAGAGGCATCAGGACTCACGGTTCAGTCTCCATGGTGTCCAGCTTGGCGACGAAGTTGTGAGGGATGTACCCTGTCTTCCCTGTGGCCAGGGACTGAGCCATGTACCACTCTTGGTCATCTCTGAGGAGACAGAGCACAGCGGTCAGGAGAGGAGGGCAGGGGCAGGGCGGGGCTCACCATCTATGAAAGACGGTCTGTCTGCACTAATCCACCTCAATATTGTTGGAAAAGAGAGCCATTATGACTTAGCTATAATACAGTAACCAAGCAGTGTTTCAGTTCTAGATACTATAAGAAATGTAGCATAGACTGGTGATACTTGAGACATTGACATACCTTGCGGCAATCTAATGCCAGCTGTTGCAATATCTGCAGTCTACAGTCTCTAGACTTCAAGGCTTTCAGATATGGCATACAGAGTAAGTCCCAGCAGTAAGGATATACTTTAAAATGAAAAACTTTAAGTTGTATTTTAATTTAGTTCTTAGTGAATGATCTAATGAAAATGAAGAAGGTAGCAGATTCAGCCTCCGGTCTGCATACAGAACAAAGAGAGGAGGCATGCGCCATCAACCAGCGGCACAAGACTTAAGTGCTGTAAACCTTTAACTGCCCTGCGTCTGCAATCTCAAATCCAGCTATGAAGTTTTGTTTTTAAGCTGATTGTGGATGCCGTCGTTTGTATATAGAGCAAAAAAAATCAGATGAACTTACGTATTCAGGAGTTTAAGTTTTTCTCCTTTTTCAAAACCTAAGTCTTCACTGTGGTTGGGCTCATAGCTGTATATTGCGATGACTAAGTTATCTGAAAGACAAGAGTATCATCTATGCTTTAACAACATAACAGGAGAAACAGAGCATGCTTGTACTGCGCAGCGTGACCCCATGCAGATGAAAGATCCTTGTTACTTTCAGCGGGGACGGAAATGCATTGTGGGAAAACCAGAGAATTCAATTTTCTGGAAATGCATTGTGGGTAAACCGGACAATGCACAACATTGTATGAATAGGGAAAATTTCAAACATAGGATAGTATCTAGTGCTTGTAAGCAGTGCTCAGTGCATTAGGTGGCCAATGAGACAGTTTTCTTAAATAGTTTTGTGATGAACCAATAAGAAGTAAAACCCTTGATATTCCTGAGTTTTATGTTAATTGGACCATCAATCGTTGTTACTGAGGTTGCATGGCAGGAAGTGTCTGGGAAGGGTTCCTCAGTCTGTACCTGCTGTCTCTCCCAGTCCCAGGGCAGGTCTGATGGGGAGGACTCTGGCAGAGCAGTCTGATCACCTCCAGCACACAGTGAATTAAGAGGCACAGCCTCTCAGTGACTTACCAGGAAGTGGAGATGAGGGAGGAGTGTGAGATGGATAAGGAATTAGGCCATCCCGCATATCTGTGTACTGAGAGAGCAACAAGACAGTCACTGAAATGAGCAATTTATTGATACGGTGGTAACTTCTTAAAATGACTATTTACCATTTCCTTCATGTAATGCCATTTTCCCCCAGTATGACAGCATTAACACTGAAATCTATTTTTACAGGCACACCCATAGGGACGTACAGTATTACCTTGGCAGTGTGCAGCAAGTTGTTTAACAATTGATCAAACTGAATAAGATTAAAGAATGACAAATTGCAATCACCATTATAATGGCAGAGAGATTTTAATCTTCTAAAACAGGGCTGGCCAAACCCATTCATGGAAACCCACAGCAAAGCAGGTCTTGTAGGTCCACTTAATCAGGTCTTGAAATGTGATCCAGTCAGTGAGGTGCTTGACTGTTTAAGTCAGAGAAGGTCAACAGTGGTCCTTGACAGATGTAGAGGGTTTGCAATGAAACAGTGACCCCTAAAAGCTGCTGAGCTGTGGCTCCCCAGGAGCAAGACTGGCCTGACATTTCTAGGGGATGTGACTCAGGAACACACTGTGCAGCTCAAAGGAAAGTTCAGAACAATTGTTCTCTTGCACACAACAGGACAAAAGTTTCTACGTGCGTTTCTCTTTTTTAAATCAACTTTAATTACATGAGGTCTACTCCAGGTAGCTGAATAGAAAGCTTTTGTTAGCAAGGGCAAAGATGCGTTGTGGGAAAACTAGGCTTTTTATGGGTGGTGCGGATTTTCTTCACTGGAGTCTGTGTCTCAGATAGGTAGAGGCAGAACCACAGAGATACATATTTGTTTTTTTTTCTTCTGTCTATAGTTAAAGCAATGAAAAATGACTTTTGTTCAGTGACACACAATTCAGCAACAAGCAGATTTGTGTTATAATCAGGAAATAATAGCACAATAACAAAGATTGTCAACACAAAATTTGTTAGTAAAGCTATTAATTTAATTTGAGTTTGTTTCTTTCACCAGGGTTTTGTATTGCTTTATTTTTTATACAAAAGTATAATGCATGTTTTACTTAATAATGAAACAGAAATGGCAAGTTAAACGACTGAGTGAAATGTTTTTCATCAAAACGAGCTCAGCCTTTCCACATACCAAAGCCAAAACTGTATTTATGTCTTTTGACAAAAAGGAAGCCCCACTCCCAAGAAAAGCAATTTGGCCTCCTTTCTTATTGTGTAATGGGTTGTAAAAGAACACAGTCACATTTATAGCACACATTCATCATTACTTTAAATGTGTGGTGGAATTTAACTAGCCTACATAATAGAGATTTAACTTTTTCTTAATACATAGTGCACAACATTAAAAACTTACAAATAAGGAAGTTATGGATTTTAGACTCAGCGTAGCATCAAAACAAAACAAAACTTTTTCAAATCCAGTGACTATTTCTTTGAGAGCACTAGTAAGCTGGTTGTATTCATCTTAAATGCAGCTGTGGAACTAAAAAGCAGTCATAATGGTAAAAACAGAATTTGATACATTGGTTAAACATTTTAATATTCGGTAGAGGCTATGAAAGGTTTAGATTCGTATTTTAAGCAAGTATGCAGTAATAGCCTTCTGGTGGTTATGGAGTAAAGTTTTATAGAAGTTGTTTCCTGCTGTGTGTAATATAAATAATATCTGACGTGCCTGTTGATGTTTGATGTTTACGGTAACTCTCTGACTGAGCGCTGTTTCCCTAAAATGTGGGCAAAGCCTCCTCTGTGTTTGTCGGCTCATCTGGTCTCTGAACAATGTGAACTGAATTTCTTTGATCCCGGGCTGGAACGATGCTACGCTGAGTCTAAAATCCATCTCCCTCAAAAGCAAAAGAAAGAAACTCCGAGGCTTCAGAGACAAACGGTCGGTCCCGGGAGAAGGGTGCCTGGCGTGAAGGTTTCCCCTCAGGAGGAAGGCCGGGACTCCCCCTGCTTTTCACAAGAAGCTCACTCGCAGAACACACACTGTGCTGGGAGGCAGCTGTGGACACAGGGGATTGGACCTGATAGCTCTGTCCCACAGCGCAGGCTCTCAGGAACTCTCCCGGAGCAGCGGGCTGAATTTCACCAGCCGGGCCCCTGGTCCCGGAGATCGCGGCGGGCCCCTTACCTGGTTTTTGCTCTGAGGAGGCAGCGGGCAGTTGCAGTGCTCACAGTATTCGTCCAGGTTTTCCACCCAGTCGTCGTCATATTCCGAGCTGCAGTTGCAGCCCATGTTTGCTGTGCAGCAGGTTGGGGGTGAGGGGGTGAGAGAGAGGGGGGAAAGCGATGAACAACTCTTATCTTGTCTTTCAGTCTGCAGAAGCCCTAGATTTGTCACTCAGCGCCGGACGGTTTCAGTTCACCTATCCTACACAAGTTTCCATCTTTTATTTTTTTGAACAGATAGATTTATTTCCTGAATAGTAATACTTCATCATTCTAGAAAAAAAAAAACATGGTGGAAAGGTGCCGATAACATTTCGCGTCTATTTCCATAAATAAACCTCCATGCTGAGGTTAAGTAGGGGAAAAAATAACATAGCAATTTTTCAGTCAAAACAATCACAAGCGATCATACTATGGGTCCAAGTCTCCTATCGACAAAGTATAGTGAATAAAGATCTTTACAAAAAAATTAAAACATTGAACCAAAGAAAAGTGTTACTATCTTTAAAAGTCCATATACTGTACATAAATACAACCAAGTTTTTTTTTCTTATAGGCAGAATTGATGTAATCTGAATGAGCAACAAGTTGTATTTACATTTAATGTTTTATTGTGATTCCAATTGATTAATTGGTTAAGATTTTATTTTAAAAATACAATGCAAAGGAATGTAAAATTGCCAGGATAAGGGATTACTGTTTATTAAACAATTCCCTTGAATGTAAAATTCTCGGTGGCCTTTGTACAAGCATGATCTTTTAACTACATTGGATAGACCTGCATATTTCCATCTTGTGAAATACGCTTGCTTCAATTTTGTATTGCATTTAAGAAATTCAATTTTTACCAACAACTTTAAGCAGCATCAGATATGAGTGAAAAAGTCAGACAAGATTAATATAAAACTGGGTTCCTAAAAGTGTAGAACCATAACACAATACAACCCTCTTTTCATGAAAGTACAATGCAGACACACATCTGTATGAGCAGGAGAGAGCTCATAGGCAGCAGCTTCCTTACAGTTAATAGAAAATAACATTTTTGTTTAATTCACTTTAACATTGTTCAGTTGCAAGACCCCTGAAGTTGCATTGCAACTACATGAGCATTAGAAAAATGTATTTATAATTGTACATTTGATGAGTATTGTGTAATACTTGAGTAACGTTGTGATCTGCACCAAAAGCCACTGCAGATGTTCCACATAGCTGTTACCCCAATTCTTTCCAAACAGTAAAAAGTCAATTTTAAAGAGCTGTTGTGATGCAGTGGAAACTGTTTTTAGAGATGCACTGACAGTCTGGTTTTGTTTATTTGTCTTTTCTCTCACATGACAGCACACGTCGGCTAGAATTTATACATGAACTAAACTCAAACAAAGAAACGATTGAATAATAAATATCATGGGAAAGATGTGGCTTGCCAAGTTCTGTTTTAAGAAATATATATTCAGCAGCATTTTTTCACAGATTACTCAACAATGAGCTTCCATTGCAATCCTCAAATAATCAAGACAAAAGCGGGATTCAGTTTGGTGATTGAATTGTCAGCTACCAGAGATGAGGCCTGCTATACTTAAATATGGCCGGATGTCAATTGCTTGTCTCTTCACTAAAGCAGCCCATATATGCACCTTCCTCTTTTGCACCCCTCCCTGACAACAGTTTGAGAATAGAAAAGCTTCTAGACTGATTGGTACGGATGATACAAACACTCCTTAGAGTCAGAAGCGTCACAAATAAACAACACCATTCTGCCATACAACGGTTTCAAGGTGTTTTTTTTTTCTCCAGATTCAGATTTTTGGTTCTTAGCAAGAGTATCCCAGCAGGTGTGCTGATGTTTCGGCAGGGCCGAGGCCCCAAAGTGGCTCCCCCAGTTCACAGAGATGGTCAACAAGACTCATATCTTGTTGTGGAGAAGACATTGCAGACAACCAGGCCACTCACTGGTAATTCAATTGCAAACGTAGCAAATGCACAAAGTTCTTGTGAAACTCCCCAGCTGCTTCTTTGCACGCGCAGTGGGGTTCAGACTGTGCTTGAGCCTGTCACTGTGATGTCGTCCCTTAGAACAATTGGTAGCCTTGAATTCTACTGCACCAGGAAGCCTGGCCCTTTGACTTAGGGGACTTCTCCACAGCCTGAGGAGCCACTGTGTGACCCGGAGCTGGGAGGCTCCTGGGACACAGGGCTTGAATACCAGCAGGAGAGGAGCTGAGCATGCCACACACAGATAGGAGCTTTAATCGCTACATGGCGTAAGAAAGCAGTGAATGCAGGACTTTTTGTAATACATGTCAATACCCCCCTTTTCTCATTTCAGCTATATCACGTCAGCATTTACTGCTTTCTTAATCCACGTCGCGTTTAACCTCTTCAAAGAACAGATGAACAATGAACTAGATTAGTGTGATTTCATCATTAAGAAAAAAAAACACGAGTTGCTTAGCACCCACTTTAGTTTTAGTTATGCTATTATTATTCATTATTATCATTATTAAGCCCTGCGATACAAAAACCTACAAAGCGGAAAAGTGACTCTTAGCCTAGGCTTTCCTGATACGTGAAGCAAAATGCCAAATAAGACAGGGTTTTTTTTTCTCATTCCGAAATGTCTAAGATATGAATTGCGGCTACAACATTACAAGGTGGAAAACTACAGTCAACACAATGCACTGAGAGCTGGAAAAATTGACATGGCCTTCAACCTGTTAATCAATAAAGGAAATTAGCTTCTGCTTGTTCTTTAAGTTGGCCTTTTGCAGGTAATTTAATTTTGAATGCACTAAATACATTAGCAAAACAACACTGAGCCAAACGACCCCTCTTATTTTTAATCTTCCTTATGTTTTTATCTTTCTTGATGCTTTTGTGCAGTTTGTGGTATTGCTATCTCTTTTGTTCTTTGTTTTGTTAGTCATAATATGTACTTTTAATTTATTTTGTTTGTGCTCCAGTCCAAATTGCTTTAACCAAGGTTAAGTAGGAAGACACTGAGTAAAATATTTTTTGGTTGTTCCTGAGAGTTAAACATTATTTATTTATTTTTACAGTGGCCTAAGACAGTAATATCACAAATTACGAAACAACATAACAACTAGGTCAAAAAAGCATTTTTTATGTTTGATTTATGAGGCGAATATTGTCATAATTTAATTTACTGTATATATAAGTCCACCAATTACTTAAACCTTCTGAAAACTATAATTACAGACTCTCTGGGTCTTATTTACTTCTTTTGAAAATCATGCTACTGTATGTGTAAATTAGAAGGTTTGCCTTAATAAGAAAGTACTTGATTGATTTTTAGTGTACATTTCTCAAAACTACGGTTTAGTATTATTAAGGATCATTTAAATCAAATGTTCATTCTACCT